GAAATCTACCGTACACTTTTAACAGGCAATGTATGAGGGGTTCCATCGGGCGTCAGATTTTCAAAGGTCAGTCGTCAAGTTTGTAACGATTAAGGGAGAGCTGATGATTTTAAGGAATACTGACAGCTGGGCATAATTGTACCAATGATTGACGCTATACGTTCTGAAGTTATTAATCCATTACGTCAAGGCATTCACTGCTTCACTTGAAAACTATTCTCACTTGTAATGTCGAAGGTAAACGGATGACAAATGACCATGTTTCAATTAAGGATTTTCCACTCCGAAGAACGAATCAATATTGCTACAGATAATAACAAATTTGGGTTTAATGAGAAAGGCCCGTTGTAATGTTTGATGACCGTGAAAGATACTGGGATTAAGCAGGACGAAGGTCTTCGTACGGAGTCTAAATGAAATGTAAACAATGATCTCATAGGTCCTTGGATATTTATCTTGGTTTGTTTATTGTTGTTTAGTGGCAAGGCCTGAGTTTTCAAAACGCTGCTCGATGGTGCTGAAACGTCTCTTGCAAATCCAGGTTTGATCTGTTGGCAATAGGCAATGATCAGATCTGGAGCAGAATGAATTGGCTGACCTCGGAACTTCGTTCCCCTCCCCTGCCTTCGAAGTTTACGTACGTCATCAGGGAAATGCGAGTTTCGATGTGAATCATTCTGAGTTACGTGAACCCTATTTTATTTGTTGAGCTTGATTGATCGTTTTCTATAACGCGATATTTTCCTTTGTTTTACAGGGCAGCTTTTTTCTCTGTGTGAACAATCTGTTTTAAAGAATCTGTGACAGAAATGATTCACTCATCCTTCAAACCTCTGCGTGACTGAAACTGTATAATGGTGTATTTGTCGATGAATTATTTTTAGTGTATATTTTGCCAAGTGTTTCATACCAAATCAAGTTCTCCTGAGTCCTATTAAACCCATGAAATATTTTAAAGGCAAAGTTGTAACGAAGAAAGAAAAGAGCTATATGCATATGTAAATATGTATAGCAATACTTATCGGCATATGTTAAGATGCGGCACTATGCATTCGTTTCAAACTGTCGCGGAGACGTGGAGCCATGGCGCCACATGAGCGAAGCATGCGAGAAGGAATGTTATCACCACGCATAGCATCACCAAGAAACAATGCTAATGGACCTTCAGGATTCTGTAACGCATTGCACAGTAATGGTTCACCACCCGATGCCTGCCAAAGTGTGGCGCTATCATCAAAGAAAGTATTTATTGTACACTCATTTCCAGGAGGGATTTATCATCCAGTCTTCCAACAGGGGCGGACCTTTACAAATGATGGAAGGTATCCTGTGATTGGGTTAGATTTATCGCGCAATCGCCCCAGGATCTGTTTCATTGAAGGCCTCTCTTGTCCAAGCTAAGCTTCGCGGTGGACACCAAAATCTTCCGTTAACTTATCAACCTCGTACTTTGAAGAAGCTCGTGAGACACAAACCGAAACGTCGTTGCTCCTCAATCTCATGATTATTATTTTACGTATTATTTTCTCCGTTGCTCATTG